TTATAGACTGGTAGACTCCTTCCCTGTAAGTCAACTCCTCATTAAATGGCGTGGTCTCTTGACACTATCCCCGCTTCCTGCATGAGTGATTTAATTACTTTGGCTAAAATGCTGCCCAGGAATTGAATTATTTCCATTATATACACCAGCTGTGTACATGTTTGCACCTGCGCTTAATCATTTGTGACCCTTTCTTGTCCATGGCCGTCCTTTGGATCCCGCTGGGTGGCGAGCTCCTTGTTAAAGGGATACGTTTTCCCGAAATATCCTGACGCGTTGTCTGTAGGCAGTCATTGGTGTTCTGTTGACCCCGCCATAGTCATTGGAACAATTTCCTGAATGATAGCGGGTATAATGTGCTTTTTTTTATTTTTTTTGGCAAATTAGGGGGATATTAGGATTCATCTCCGCATTCCTTGATCAGATAAATGCACAAGGTCAGCAATTTGTACATTTCTAAAGGTTGCTAAGCTTCCTGGAGCATTTAGATATCCTTAAAGGAAAATTACGGCTTCATCAAAGGTTTATATTGCCTAATACGTGCCGGGATGTAACTAAACGGTATCAGAACACCACACATTGAAATCACAATTTCATTCATTTTTAATATTCAAAGTAAACTCCCCGATCCATCCGTGTCTCCATGTTTTATTTTGCTGAGAAGTCACTTTTAACCACTTCCAGTCTGGACACTTTCACCCCCTTCCTGTCCAGGCCAATTTTCAGCTTTCAGCGCTGTCACACTTTGAATGACAATTGCGCGGTCATGAAACACTGCACCCATATGAATTTTTTTAGCATTTTTTTGAGACAGATAAAACTTTATTTTGGTGGTATTTATTCACCACTGGGATTTTTATATTTTTTTTGCTATGTAAATGAAAGTCCAAAAACTTTGAAAAAAGGTGCTTTTCTTATAAATGTTGCAAATAAATAATATTTTATCATAAATCTTGGCCAAAATGTATTCCATTATCTTTTTAGTAAAAAAAAAAAGCCAACTTAGTTTATAACCAAAACTTATAATTTTTAAACTTTTTTTTTACATTTTTATTTTATTTTTTTATATTATTATTTATGATTTTACATACTGTCACCCTAGCAGTACAGTGTCACCATGGTCCCATTCTTGCAGCCATTGAGAACTACTGTGTGAGCTGTGATTGGTCACAGCTTGTCACATGGTACAAGGCTGTTGTGAATAACCTTGTACCATGTGACCTCTGTGATCATTCACAGAGTTCACAAGTAGTAAGCAATGATGTCAGAAGTGACATCTTGCTTACTACTCTGCATGTGATCACTGATTGGTCAATCAGTGATCACATGATCAGGACCTCACAGAGAGGTCCCGTCCGACGATCGCTGTTTTCACTGTGTCCGAAGGCACCCCCAAACGATCCGAAAATGCACCTGCGGACAACCATATACACTAGGCCTCCAGCCGCAACCAACCAGCGCGTGGAGACAACCATACCGTCCGCAGTACAGCACCACCACCTTCCAATTAAAACCTTGGTTAACTGGGAATGTCACCGGGCATCCCATACCACCGATGGGTCCCACATCATTGTTTTTACCTTCCAAGATGAGAACCACCTCCAAAGACCAACAACCGCCCAGGAACCAACATAATCCCCCTCTCCCCGGGAGGGACCCGATACCCAACAAAACAGGGATGGCGGGAGGGAAGCTCTTTTCCCTCCTAACGTCCAGCTCCAACTGACGCCCCCTCAACAGAACCCCCCACCCTAAGGTGCAGCAGACCCCACCTACACTTTCAACCTCTTCCAACCAGATCCCCCACTATCACATACCAACCCCCTGGAGTTAACTTTAACCCTTTCCGTTCCTCCTTCACCACTCTGGGCCTAGTCATGCATGCCCTGCGCTATTTCCTTTCTTTATTCCCGCTACGGGCATTTCTTTTTCATAGGAAGTGCAGGGACTTCTTCCCTGCGTGTCACGGGGCACCCACCCTCGTACCCACACAAAACGTAGCTCACACGGCCGCATATATGTGAACCAGAGGTTAACGAACCACATCAGAGTTTTCAGATGATTAGCACACCTGAAAACAATTTATGTTTTTGAACATTTCTAGTTAATTTTTGTCAAAATCTAGGTTTTGCTACCAAGCTCATTGCTAAGTTGTATCATGTGAAGCCTGTATGCAAATTCCTCTCTCTGTTTTCTGCATCTCTAATCACATGTAGATTTTGAATAGATTTGAATTTAAATGTTTTAAAAGTGTCAGAATTGTTTACATCAATTTTTCTGTATGTGAAAAGATGTAAGATGAGTGTTCCAGCATCAGCAGCAGATGTTACAGCATTGCCAACATCTGTTTTTCAGTATCAGTAGCAGAAGTATCCCAGTAAAAAGCAGATGTGTCCAAACATCACCAACAGTAATGATGGGCCAAACACCCCCTTGGTTGGTTAGTGTTCGAACCTAACAACAGTTTGACAACAAACTTTGAACTCAATGTACCCATTTTGAAAGCTTATATGCAAATTATTGGCCATATAAGGGCATGGGGACTTGGATACTGCCCTGAGGGACATGTATCAGTGAAAAAAAAAATAAACTCAAAAACTGCCTATTTTTAAAGAGGCAGTCATTTTTCATTTTTTTTTTTGGATAAAGTTGAAAAAAAAAAAAAAAGAAAACATTCTTTAAATGTCATGCCTGGGGTGTCCCCTTAAACTACCTGCAAGGTTGCACATCTGTACAATGTATAGAACCTGATGAAGCAGGACTGTTAAACAAAACAGCGTGACCCCCCCCCCCCCCCAAATCCTTACCAGACCCTTTAGGTCTGGTAGGATGGTTAGGAGAGAGACCCCCACAGTAAAAAATTTAATTTAAAAAAGTGCATGTGATGCCCCCTAAAGGCCATACCAGGCCCTTGATTTGAGCAAAGGTCTGGCAGGCCCCTCCCCTCCCTGCAGCTTACCAAGCCACATGCCCTCAGCCATGCCAATGGGGACAAGGACCTCTTCCCCCACAACTCTGGCTCAGTGGTTGTGTGGGTCTGCATCAGAGGGGCTCATTAGCATCATTGTACCCCTTTAAACAAGAGGGAACCCTTATGCTGCCCCCCATTGTGAATGAGTAAGGGATACTTGTACCCCTACCCATTCACTAACGGGTTACATTTAGAAAAATTAAAGAAGTCAGACTTTTGAAAAATGCCTTTAATTGAAACAAAAAAAAAGTTTTTGAAAAGTCCTTTGATTAAAAAAAAAGCCAAAAAAGGTTGTAATCCATCATTAATCACGGTGTCCAGCATAGTTACGGAGGACAAAATTTTAAAAAATAACCGCCGCCAGCCCATCCACACCTGCCAAGCACTTGCTGCAATCTGACAATTGCCAGTCAGATGTAAACATATGGGCGGAACTACTGGTGACATCACCACTAGCTCCGCCCAATTGTGCTGTGGTTGGCCAAAGCATTACACCTGACCTGTGGTCAGGTGCATTGGTTTGGCCAGTTATGGCTCTCACAATGCACTGTGAGAGTGCAGTGCACTGTGGGGTGCTCGGCAGGCAAAAAACCCACCAAACTCCCTTACCATTCATGTGCTCGCTGAACATTCGACTCGAACATCAAGCCCTAATGAGCAGTATGTGTTTTCCATCATTAGTAGCAGACGTTACAGCATCACCAACATGTATGTTGCAGTATCAGTAGCAGAAGTGTCTTAGTATAAAGCAAATGTGTCCAACTAGAGATGAGCGAATTATTCAAAAATTCGATTTCGGCTGATTTGCCGAATTCGCGGAATATAATTCGATTCGAGGCGAATATATTCGCTGCGAATTTAACTTATGAAAAAGGGGGTGTTTCTAGGCTTCAGAGAGCCTTTATATTAGTGCAGAAACACTGTACCTTTAATTTAAATGCCCTTGGAGTCTGCTGGGGAAGAGAACTAATACTGTCAGTCAGTATGACATGCAGATGAGTGCCGTCGATCTTAGAATCACCGCACACTTCACTCATTTGGGCAGTCACGGGGCCAAAACCAGAGTGTGGAGCCACAGTGTGGCGGTGGAGGCAGCAGCAATGGGAGGCCATACAGCACCCTATGACAAAATGGAACCCACCAGCAGTGTGAGGAGACCTGAAAGTGGCACATGGCAGAGTGTGGCGATGGAGACAGCAGCAATGGGAGGCCGTACAGGGACCCATGACACACTCTGGACCTGGCAGCAGCATGAGGAGGCGGTACAGGGGCCCATGACAGATTACGGGCCTGGCAGCAGCAGTGAGGGCGGGGGGTGGGATGCAGCAGTATTCGGAAGCCAAACACAGGCCTCGGTTAAAAAGCGGAAGCCGTCAGCAGCGTGAGGAGACGACAGAGACACATGGCGCAGAGGTGGCGGTGGATGCAGCAGCAATGGGAGGCTGTACAGGGACCCATGACACACTCTGGACCTTAAAAAGCAGCATGAAGCGGTACAGGGGGCCCATGAGCAGACGGGCCTGAGGCAGCATGAGGAGCAGGGTGGCGGATTGGAGGCAGCAGCAATGGGAGGCCATACAGCACCCTATGACAAAATGGAACCCACCAAGCAGTGTGAGGAGACCTGAAAGTGGCACATGGCAGAGTCTGGCGATGGAGTCAGCAGCAATGGGAGGCCGTACAGGGACCCATGACACACTCTGGACCTGGCAGCAGCATGAGGAGGCGGCATACAGGGGCCCATGACAGATTACGGGCCTGGCAGCAGCATGAGGAGTTGGTACGGGGGCCCATGCAGATTAGGTGGAACCTGGCAGCAGCATGAGGAGAGTGGTACAGGGGCCCATGGCAGAGTGGCGGAGCGTAAGCAGCTAAAATTGAAGGGCCTTACAGAGGCCTATGTTAAAAAGTCTGGAACCAGCAGCAGCAGCGTGAGGAGGCGAGGTACTAAAGGGCCCATGACAGAGCTGGCTGGGGGGGACCTGGAAGCAGCTAAAATTGAAGGCCGTAATACAGGGGCCTATGAACAAAACTTGTGGCAGGCCAGCAGAGTGTGTCGGAGTCCCTGTACGGGTGGCCCATGCTGCTGACTTACACATCGCCCTCTGCCAGCAGCAATCAGGAGGCCTTACAGGGACCCTGTTGGTGGGGTTCCATTTGGTGATAGGCCATGAGGAGGCGTAACGGGCCTATCAATTGCTGCTGCCCTCGCAGCAACTGGCCATGAGCGATCTTACGGTCTGCTCAGCTAATGACGAAGCTTCCTGCTTTTTAACCAGAGACCAGTGTGATTGAGGATACTGCGACTATCAACCCAGCGCCATGCAGAGTGGCGGAGCCAGCTGCTCACGCAATTGAAGGGCCTAGGTTTAAAAGTCCCTCACAGTTACTTCCAATAACGAACTCTACTCCTCCGTGCAATCTACTTACGAGACCCTGGGCAGGTGAGGAGGGGTCCAATTTGTGGTAGGCCTGGTTTTGTTCAGCCATGCTTGGAGCGAGTAATAACAGGTCTGTGCTGCCCTTTGGTGTCTGGCTTAATGCGCACCCACTGAACGTCCATCGTTTGTCAACGATTTTTGCCGTTAAGTGGATGGCAAAGATTGTTGGCCGCTGAACAGCAGTTCATGAGGAGCCGGTACAGGGGCCATGAATCAGTATGGACCTGGCAGCAGCGTGAGCAGAGCGGACAGAGGCACATGGCGCACGGGCCTGGCGGTGTAGGCAGCATTATTCTGAAGCCATACACAGGCCTAGGTTAAAAAGCGGAAGCCAGTCAGCAGTGTGAGCAGACGACAGAGACACATGGCGCCAGGGTGGCGGTGGATGCAGCAGTATTCGGAAGCAAAAACACAGGCCTCGAGAGTAAAAAGCGGAAGCCGTCAGCAGCGTGAGCAGACGGACAGAGGCACATGGCGCAGGTGGCGGTGGAGGCAGCAGCAATGGAAGGCCATATCAGCACCCTATCACAAATGGAACCCACCAACAGTGTAAGGAGACCTGAAAGTGGCACATGGCAGAGTCTGGCGATGAAGTCAGCAGCAATGGGAGGCCGTACAGGGACCCATGACACACTCTGGACCTGGCAGCAGCAAAGAGGGAGGCGGTACAGGGGCCCATGGCAGAGTGGCGAAGCGTAAGCAGCTTAAATTGAAGGCCATACAGAGGCCTATGTTAAAAATAATAACATGTTTGGGGCATGATTCATGGCGGGATTTAGTCAGTTGTGTCAGGAACTGGTGGTTTGAAATCCAGACTAATCCACGCCTGATTCATTTTCACAAACGTGAGTCTCTCCACACTTTTGGGTGGACAGTCGTGTCCTCGCGCGGAGTTACAATACCTCCTGCCGCACTAAACACGCGCTCCGATGCCACGCTACTGGCCGGGCATGACAGCCTTTCAAGGGCAAATTCAGCTAGTTGGGGCCAAAGGTCAAGTTTCGTTGCCCAGTAGTCAAGGGGAATGTCTACCTCGGTTGGCAGGGTGCTTGTCCAAGTAGGACCCGAGCCTGTTGTTGAGGTCCTGCTCCCAGGTCCACCTGATGCTGCTAGCTGCTGCGGCTGGTTAGTATTTTCCTCACTGCGCTGGTGATAAGAAAGCTACTCATCATCGACTGCAGACTGAGGCAGCCGCTGCTGGTGGGAGCTGCCACTGCTCCTACCACCCCACCCCTCCCCTGCTGCCATGGCAGCGGACACGCGAGGAGCGCACAGTGCCCACAGTGTCTCGAGGATGGACGTTGGCGCAGAGAAGGCGCAAGCAACCGAGCATGCTATGGGCCATTTGTGAAGGAATGCGAGGACTCCCTGCCTCCATTCCACACATAC